TCCCACCTCCTAGCATGGTGATGACTGAGAAGGCCTAGTGTCTCAGAGGAAAAGGTAAACAAATCTTTGCAGTGTCTGTAACATGAATTGCATAAAAAGGCATTGCTGGGTCACTGAGCAGTAAATATAGTGGCATTACCGCAAAATAAATGAGAAAAGAGAATCCACCCCAGGCAAGCTGAGGGCTGCACAGGGCTGGCTTAGAGATCAAGCAGCAGGAAAGTGGGACCTTAAAAGGCAGATGAATAGAATACAGCCTCCTTCCTGTCCCTGATGCCTTGGGGCATGTTGTTCAGAGATCAGAAGGAAGTCAGAACGGAAAAGAACTCTTGGTGGTTAGAGGATAATATGAAAGAGTGCCTTAAAACAGCATAATCTAACCCTGGAACCTCGCCATTCTTTGTAGATGAACTAGCTACAGTATATGAAAGAGGAAAATGTGCTGGGCACACATGATAGCATGCACCAGTAATCCTAGCACTCAGGAGGCTGAGGCAGGAGGATCGCCACTAGTTCGAAGCCTTCCTGGGCTAGAGTGAGTTCAAGGCCAGCCTGAACTACATAACAACCTCCTGTCTCAAAACAAATTTGCTACATGGTGCTGACTTCTAGCTATAATGTTTGTAAGCTAAGGAGTTGGAACTCTGTGTACCAATGTGGAAATGCAGTTATAACTGATGGCTCAGCTATTAAAAGCCTGTCTTCCTCAGAATGTCTTTGCGGACAGTGTGAGGCTGGTGACCCTCCAGGACTTAGCCGGTGTGTCCAGGGAAGCACCGCACTCCAGGCTGGGACTTCTGGGATCGAGTTTCCCCTTGGCCGGCCTAGGGGAGCCCTGTCACTTTAACTCTCACAATGACTTCTTTGTCCAACAAGTGGGAGCTAGGAGCTTAGATACAGGGATGAGGCAGGTGCCAGGGCTCATCCTGCGCTGGTGGGTCTCTTCCTTTTTGTCCTGGAATCCCTGAGACTGGTCTGTCAACTTTCCTTCTGTGCTGCCCTCATCTGTTGCTTCCAACCATCTGTTGCTCTTGGCTCTTAAGAAAAACGGGGCTGATGGCTGGCCAGCAGAGTGCCTGGTATAGCAGAGATACTCCGTAACATTTCGTAGAGAAAGCAGTAGCCTCTAACCTTGTCTGTAAAACAAGCCCATAACCCTTACAAGGTGTTGCTGGTTGTTTCTGATATCAGCACCAAGTGCGTGGGCCGGTGGTTGAGGGTGACAGGGCCTCAAGCCGCCTCTCCCCTCACAACTTGCACTGTCCCTCGGTCTTGGTCTTGACCCTGACAGACTTCAGTTCCGGTAAGGAAGGCGCTAACCCCTCTCTGCCCTCTGCCTCATCTGTACGTTTCAGAGGAGCATCCAGTCTCACTGTCTTGAAGGTTGGTTTAGTTGCTTGTTTGTTCCAACTCTATGAGAGTTTGGTTCATTTGCTAATAGGATGAAGGGGGAGGATGCAGTGTGTTGGGGTGACATGTCTGGGACACTTCCTTTATGGGGAAGTAGGGGGAATGTAGAAATATGGAAACGAACAAGTAAGAGGCCAAGGGTGTCACTCTGTGTTGGAGAACTTGCCTAACATGCTCAAGGCCCTGGGTTTCATCCCAGCAGTACAAGAAAAAGAGGAAGGGAGGGAAGCAAGGAAAGAAAGAACAAGTAGAGAGAAGGGGACTTGCCCTAGGATTCTCTGTTCTCTCTCCCCGCCAGCCATTCTACCACAGGGCTGGGTCCTGGGCCAGCCCGAGGTAGGAGAAGCAGGGCCTAGAGACTGCCATGTCTAGGTAGGTCCCGGGCAAGGAGGTTCTGTGAAGAGCACCCTCAATTTAAGAGGAAGAGATCTAGATTCAGGCTGTACCCTCCCTGTCCTCTCTGGGCCTCTTTGAAAGCTGGGGAGGAAGGGATGTGCTCCTCCCTTCCTGGTCTGGCATTCCTGTGGGAATCCTCCAGCCACGTCATGTTAGAGCCTATGTGAGCTCTTAGAGAAGGCAAGTTCTTAGTTCATCATAGGAAAGAAAGATCTGGAGCTTAGTTCAGGCTCTGCTAAGTTTCACTCCTTTGAGCCTCAATCTGCCATTCAAACACAAGGAGTCTGATGCATGTACAGCCAGCCACCCTGGGCCAGTGGAGAGACACTCCTCTCAGTTTTTCTGTACCACACTGGAAAGTGATGAAGCGCACGTCACTTCATGATACTCTGCTGCTTCTTAAGGTTGAGTGACATACATTGCCTGGCCCCAGGTGTCAAGGTGAGCTACTGCTGCGAGTGGCCAGCATCGGTCCTGCTGGGGGATGAGGTGGAGCTTATGGGCAAGGCATAGAGTAGACTGAGTGAGCACAGAGAGTGGAAGGCAGGCAGAGGCCCAGGGAGAGAGGGGCATGGCTAGTAAAGAGCTTCCTCCCACCAGGACCAAGTTTGGGGGAGCACAGAAGAGCTGACCCAAGTCCAGAGGCTGCAGAAACATTCTGAGAAGTGATAACCAAGGTACCGTTCAAAAGACACAGGAACCTGTTACCCTTAAATTTAAAATTTTTTCCCAGAAGCTTAACAACATCTTTGCTCTTAGGACCAGTGGACCAGATCACCTATTTTTCATATCTCCATAAAAGGCAAAGAAATTACCATCCAAGTCAATGCCTCTGGGCCTGGCTCGCATGCTCATTTCAGATACTAGGCTGGTGTGGAACTCCCCATGTGATTATTTCCCCCTTCCCTTTCTCTGGGTGTTTTTGTTTTTTTTTTTTTTTTGGTACCGGGGATTGAACTTGGGTCCTTGAGCTTGCACAGCAGGTGGCAGAACCACTGAGCGAAATCCCCGGCCCCTCTGGGTGTTCCTTTTGATTATAAAAATAGTGCACATCTATTATGGACGTCTTGGAGCCTAAAGGAAGTATGAGCCCTGTGGTATCTTCCTGTCCACCCCTCAGATGGACGCCCTCCTGGCCTGTCCCATACTTCCTTTTGTCTGCTGTTAGGATAATGCCTTTTTTCCCCTTTTCTTCCTTTTCTTTTCTTTTAAACACTTGGCTTTACCTGATGTCCACTTTTTCTAATTTCATTTCCTGTTTCTCAATATTGTTATATGAAAGTGTGCTGTGTATCAGGAAGGGTGTAGAAGGAACGTGGTCTACATGAAAGGAGAGGAAGACTGTGTTTGGTGATATTTAGAAGATGGAAGCACACGCAGCACACACACACACACACACACACACACACACACGCACACAGACACCTACCTGGTTCGGATGTGTACTGGTTGCATATCATGTCTCTGTCCCTTGCTGATGAATATCATGTGTAACCTCAGTCTCACACAGTGGCAGAAGTTGTTTGTTGACATTGTATTTAAGGGATTTATCCAGGTATTACGAACCTCAAAACAGACCCTACACGAGCCGGGGATTTAGCTCAGTGGCTCCGCCACCTGCCCCGCAAGCACAAGGACCCGAGTTTGATCCCCGGTACCAAAAAAAAAAAGACTATACTTTGACACCAAGAAGGCTGAACACAGGTCAGCTGGAAGGCAAGCAAGTTTCTGAGGAAAGAAGCCCTTCTCCCCGATCCCCAGGCATCAGCCAGCCAGAGTCATGTCCACTAAACACTGGGTATGATCAGCGCTTCCCACACACTCTGTGGCTTCCGTTTTGAAGTTGTACCCCAGGTCAGATTCACTGTGCACAGAGTGCTGTGCAGGACGGGGAAGGGCTTGGAAGAAAATATGGTTCCTGTGCTTTTCCCCTGCAGAACAGAATGGCCTCTCCACCAGCATTTGGTCAGGCTGGCCCTCCTGGTGACCTAACCCCATCTTATCCTAAGCCACCCGCTCAGCTCTGGCCTGTCGCTCCCTGGGCTCCACTGTGTCCTGTGTGTGCTCTTGGTTCTGTGATGGTCCCTTGCTCAGCTCCTCTCCCTCTTCCTCGATTGGCCAGCAGGTCTCCCCAGGGTCTGGAGATGTCTCTGCACACTGTCTCCTCTCAGCTGTCCTGTCCCCACTTTTACCAGCGTTGTTGCTGTGAGTTGTTGGCATGTCCTGTCAGCTCACCCCTTCTCTGTCTTACAGTCCACAGTGTGACAGCGTCCCCCTGCTGTGACATTGGATCCTTCCACGAGATGGAAGGGCCAGGAGAAGAGGGTGGCTGTCACATGGGAGGGACAGTGACACTGACTGGTGGAATTGCCTCTGTGTATACGCGTCTCCCCCAAGTGGTCCTGGTGCTGAATTGAAAGCATTGCACACATAGACCCCTGCAGCGCAGCCCTAGATGAGGGTGCTGCCTCCACAGACTCAGAGTTCCTGTCTGTGGGCACAGCACCCAAGGGTGGCAGCACCCCCTGGCCTCCAGACTCATCCACAGGTAGTTTAACCTCAAGCATGGGTGTCTGGGATGATCTCTTAGAATGTTTCACTTAGGTTTGGTTGGTGACCTCAGATTACCACCTGCACACCTAGAAGCAACACCGGCCACATAGCACACTCTGTTCCACAAGGTAGGCAGGCCTCCCAGGGCTTGGGTGTTTGTGAGGAGGAGGCCAACAGCCAAGTTCACGGCACGCTAATGCCCAAGGGTCACCACCCTCCCGGTCAGGGCGAGGAGGAAGGTGAGTCCCCACTTGGCCCTGAGCCACTGAGGTGTGAAGAAGGGAACGAGTGTCTCTGGAGGGATCCACCGCCCGTTAGGCCACATGCCCACGTCGATACCCCTGCCCTTACCAGGGCCTGCTCTTGTTCAGTTTCCCTGCTGAAAAAAGGACTTAATTCATTTGTAGACTTTGTTTCCCCTGTTTCTGCTTCTCCATTTCTTGTATTTTTTTTCTTTTCCTCCTGTTGTTCTTTTCTCACTTTTTCTGCTTTTGTCCTCTGCTTATTTTTTATTTCACCTTTTCCCTGTCCCTTTCCACGTCCAAATTCCACCTCTCCTCCATCTCCTCCTCTTTTTTCTCTTCCTTTTTTGTCTTCCTCCATTTCTTCCTCTCCTCTTCCTTGTTTGGTCCTTTTTGAAGTTGAGCCCAGTGGCGGGACTCCACGGCGTAGACCTCTCTCCTTCTGCCCTTGCTGTGTCCAGGAAGGTAACGTAACCTCGCCCCCCGAAACCCCACCGCCTCGGCGGGGTCGTGGCCATGTCAGTCCCACAGGGAGCCAAAGCCCAATTGTTACTCCTTCCTTCTCTGACACGTGACAGCCCATTCCAGAGTGTTATGAGTATGTGGCAGTTTCTTACAAGGCACAGTATCCCTTTGACTGTCTCGGGCGCTGGGTACAGAGGGCAGCCGAGGCCTCCAGGCCCGGCATCTGGAGGCTGCAGATGGCCCTGTGGTACTGCCTCCGCTCACGGCTGGGGCCTGTGTGCCTCACTTCCACCAGACAGGGGCTGGGAACACTGGGGAAGCACCTCCCACGCAGGCAGCGATTTGTACTGACAGAGTCAAGGAATACTGTCCTTACAAAGACTGGTCTACCTACACAAGTGCCCCAAGTTCTTTACCGACAACCACAAAAAGCGAACTTTTCTACCTCGTGTCTTGCTGAGTGCGTTTTGTTTTGTTTTGTTTTTAAGTTTGTCTGATTTGAAGTCTGTTGTGGTGATAAGATTGTCTTTGACAAGGCATGTGGAAGGGGGCGGGGAGTGTGGCCATGACTAACCCTTGCTAACCTCCTACTCTGCTCTCCATGGCTGTTACATTGACTTCACCCACCCCCCAAACATCCCCTGCTCATCGCTGTGACCGAGCACCACCGTGGCTCATGAGCAGTGTCCAGATGTCCCCAGCAGGGTTTCCTGTCTTTCCACCTGGGAGGTGGGCAGGAGGGCAGCTTGCATGCCTCCGGCTCCATCCTCATGGCCATGCGGGCACACTGTGCAGAGATGCTTGGAAGGAATGCATGGAACTGAGCCAGGACCCAAGTCTGTTGGATTGGATGAGGAGAGCTCAGGCCCCAGACACACAGGTAGCACTGGGGTCAGGGCTCTGTCCCCAAGAATAGAGCACGGGCGGGGTGCCCCCTCAGAGCAGAGCTGCATGTGCAGACACTAACGGTTGCTTGTGTGGACACCATACATTTCTGCCTCTCCAGAGTGTGGCCACTGACTAAGAACTCACTGGCTTGGGCCTCACATATCAAGCGGACAGTTCCACAGGAGCTTTGGCTTTGACTGGTGTGCAAGAGGGTCAGGCGGCCAAGCACAGGTAGAAGTAAGGGCCCGCCACCTGAGAAGATCCCCTTGCCGCCGGACGTAGTCCAACCAGACACCTCAGGAAGTAGAAGAGGCCGAGAGATTTCCTGGTCCATCACCTCTTAACCCAAGGCTTGTGGCTGGGCTTCAGGAAGTCTGTGAACACCCCAAAATTCTTTCTAAAATTGTTTGATATCAAGCTGGGGGATACAGCCAGTGGTCAACACTTACCTAAGATGCACAGTGCCCTGAGTTCAATCCCCAGCACCATAATAAATAAATAGAAAATGATTTGTACACATAACCATTTTTCTAGGAAGAGTCTTTAGCTTTCATGAGATTCTCAAAACAATTTGTAATACAGAAACATTAAAAAGCTACTGACAATCTGTCTTTCAGCCAGGACCACTTTTTTGCCATAAGCATCTTTGTGCTCCAAGGGAAAAAGAATTTTGGTTCTTCCTGGATGGCTTATTCCTTGCAAAGTTTTTCATCCTCCTGCTGCAGTTAAGCATGGATCCAGCCACTCCTGGTCGAAACTCAGGGGCCTACTGTGTGTTGATTCAGGGCAGCCCAAGGCAGCAGAGGCACCAGCACTGCTGCTGGGATTGTAGAGCAGAGCATAGCCACCTCCTCCAGGGTCCACAGGTGAGAAAGCTGATAGTTACCTGGGATGCCCCTCGCCTGCCACGCAGGACCCTTTAGCTTGCTCATCAGGAAACATGGAAGGCTGCATGTTAAGAAGTGGCATCTTCCTGCTGGGCCCACGTGGTGGCATATGTCTGTCATCCCAGCTGTGTGGAGACTGAAGCAGGAGGATCACAAGTTCAAGCCCAGCCTGGGAAACTTAGGGTGACCCTGTCCAAAAATAAAAGGGGCTGGGGATGCAGTTAAGTGGCAGAGGGCCCCTAGGTCCAATCCCTAATACCACAGTGGGGGAAAAATAAGTGGTGTCTTCCTGGTCAGGATATAAAGCAATGATGAATTGTTAATAGTAGTGGCCCCAGAGAAAGAACTGGGTTAAATGAGTACGACTTAAAAGAATAAAGTGCTAGGGCTGGGTATACAGCTCAGTGGTAGAGCACTTGCCTAGCATCTAGCGTGTAAGAGGCCCTGTTTTTGACCCACAGCACTGAAAAAAATATTATTTTAAAATTTACATTTGCCCTGTTTATTAGACTACTTTTCTCAAAGGAGACCTAGTACATAGCAAGTGCCAAATAAATATTAAATGAATGAAAAAAATTTAGGTGTGGGGGATGGCAGCAAAGCAATTTAAGACATACCAGAAGAAAGCCACTGAGCAGGGAGGTAGCAGCAAGCGTGTGAGGAGGAACAGTCACCACTGGCCAGGGTTACTGTGGATTGAGGGTAGGGCATGGGCAGGGCAGATAGAAGACAGATGCCCCTTTAGACCCCAGAGGGGAGGCACAATGCAGGGGTGTCATTCTCTGCCCCCTCCCGGAAGGCAGTAGGCAGACTTTGGACCTGGCTTGGGAGTGTTCCGGCAGCATCTTGCTCGGCTCTCTTTGCACATTTGCCCCGGTGTGATGACTTCCTCTGGGCCAGGGTAGGCAGAGCTGGTTCCTGCAGCCTGACACCCGCTCTCTCTTGGCAGGCATGGGCAAGAAAGATGATCCCAAGCTGATGCAGGAGTGGTTCAAGCTGGTGCAAGAGAAAAATGCTATGGTCCGCTACGAGTCAGAGCTGATGATTTTGTGAGTAGTCTGAGGTTGGGGGCCCAGCTCAGGGGTTACAGCAGCAGTAGACCTGCTGCAGCCCTGACTTGGTGAGGTGTCGGAGTCACTGTCACTGTATCCCTCCTGTCTCAGTGCCCGGGAGCTGGAGCTGGAGGACCGGCAGAGCCGACTACAGCAGGAGCTGCGGGAGCGCATGGCGGTGGAAGGTAAGCCCAGGCGGGCCACCCAGGGGCCGGTGCGGGCTGCCGCCTCCAAGACTGCCCACCTGATGCCCTTGGCTGCTCCTCCAGATCACCTGAAGACAGAGGAGGAGTTGTCAGAGGAAAAGAAGATCCTGAATGAGATGCTGGAAGTGGTAGAGCAGAGAGACTCTCTGGTGGCCCTGCTGGAGGAGCAGCGGCTCCGGGAAAAAGAGGAGGACAAGGACCTGGAAGCCGCCATGCTGTCAAAGGGCTTCAGCCTGAACTGGTCCTGATCTCTAGCAGGTGCACTGGCGTGTGTTGGCACCTGCCTGCCAGCCTACTTTCTCCCAAGCCCCCGGATCCAACATCCGAGGAGGTTGGCGCTGCCTGGGAGTCCACACTCAGAGGGCCGTGTTCTTGCGTGCCGTGCCATGGGAAAGCCCCAGGCTACAGTGATTATCTGAGGTGACTCCGCCTCCTGGGAAGAGGCCCACTGGGACTTCCCGCTAAAGAGGGGGAAACTGCACGGTCCTAAGGGTGCTGCCTGGCGCACCTTCCTTTTGCTGCCATATTTGGTAAGGGAAGGAAACTGCTCCCTCTCTTCAATGCCACAATAGCCACGGAGAGCACCCCGCAGAGCAGGGCAGCTGTTGTCTTCACACTTCCTGAAGCACCACCAAAGAAAGGAAAAGACACCCCACAAAAGCAAGTTCTAGAGACCCACAAGAGAACAAGGCCGGCCACAAGGTGCCCAAGCCAGCATCGCAGGGGGAGCAGAGGGGTGGCAGGCTCTGAATTCATTATGCAAGTTAAGAGGATGCAAGAGGGGGCACCCCCAGCCCCAGTGCCGCACATTGGGCCTCAGGTGGCCAAACACCCTTGGCCTCTGCTCTCATTGGCCGCAGCCTGAGGCCTATGGACTGCTGCATTTGCTTTTTGTTCACAACCATTTTGACACTGGAAAGTACTGAATTTGGGGGCTGGGGGAGGCCCTACACGTCAAGCCCCCTGCTGACAGGCGTTGTCGTTGTCGTTGTTCAGCACTTCCCATGGGCAGGAGGTTACCTTCTCCCTGGGTATTCTTCCTGCATTTGCACATTGAAAAGAAGCTGACAACCTGGCAAGATCCTCAGCCACTTCGGACCCTTTCGTCAATTAACTTATTTTTTTAATACTTGAAAAGAAGCAACTTCATTTTTATATCCTTACTAGAGACACTGATCACCTGGCACCTGTGTGTAGGAGTGACAGAGGTCTCAGCAATGTCCCACACATAGCCTGATTCGGGACTGACTGACTGCTTGTTACATGCATCTATTTATTAGCTTCTTCATAGTGTTACTGACCTGGTTGGCATCAGGGAGTAGCTCGAGGCCCTCTGGGCCCTTGCTCACAGCTTTTCTGTCCCCTCCAGTACCTGTCGCCCGTCCCACCCACCCACTCACCAGCCTTCCCTCGCTATGACACTGGGCTTCTACATCTGAATCGTTTGCTTGTCAGAGCTGCACCTCAGCACTGCTGGGGGTAAGCGGAGAGGCAGAGATGCCACTCTCCTCTCTCCCTGTTGGGATGCTTCTCTTGGTTTTGGTGCCAGGGTGCCACCACCCTGTGTGGGTGTGTTAAAGCTTGGGCATAAGCTCCCTCGGGCTGGCAAGACCCTGTAGGGTGGGACCATGGACTCAGTCTGGCCCAAGGGTCAGCCAGATGGGAGCATGACTACTGCCCTGCGCGTTGGGATTTAGGCTGCTCTAAGGCAAACAGGGTTGACTCCAGCCCTCTCTCCCCTCCCTGTACTAGGATCTCCTTGGGGCAGCAAGGGCTAATGAGAACCGTGTAACCAGCTCCATAAGCCAAGCTATTCATTCTCATGGTTCAGCCAGAGACTAGCTGTATACAGCTTATCTAAGCCACTGACTGAGAAAACTGGGGCAGAGAGGGGTGGGTGCTTATCTGTCAAGAGAATCAGCACAGGGTCAGCCCAGGGGTGTCAGTGCCAGGCCCATCCAGGAGGGGGCACTGTGGCCACTCCTGGCAATGGGCCAGGGGACGGTGCTGACCTGGACTTCCCATGGAACCACACTGTGCCTCAACTTGAACATTCATCTAACTACGAAGGAGCAAACAACCTTTCTCTTCACTTTGTCTAAAAGCTGCCATCTGTCCTGTGGAAACCTAGTTGTGCTGCTGTGATCATCGCAGCTCTGACTTCCTCGCATCCTGTTTTCCAATGAGGCAGTCTCCATTTTTATTCTCTTTTCCTAAAGGGGGAGAGGAGAGTATTCTCCATTCCATCTTCAAACCCCCATCTCCCAGTAAACATTGGACTGCGGACAGGACCTTCATTGCCTGTGTGGCCTTTTCCCTTACTCTCTCCCCTTCCTGCAAGCCCGGCAGAGCTGCCTCTGTCCCCATTGTTCCACTAACCCCCCAGAACAAGGAAGCAGTTTCCAGAGTGACAGCAGCGATAGTGCTGTACTTCACGTGACCTCACGTAGCAGAAGGCCCAGGTTTCCTCAGCCTCTTGCTGCTGCCCAGCCCTGGTCAGCCTTGACACCACTACATCTTTCCAAAGCACATGCTGCTGCCTGCAGTCACTTTCAAGGGGGCCAAAGACTACAGAGAGGCCTCATAAATCCACCAGCCAGCCAGATGTCCCCCAGCTGTTCACTCCCGAAAGTGTTAGGACTTCAGGTTCTTGGAGAGCACTTTTTCTTTTTAAAGCTTCCAGTTTGTAACCACTAGTTGATTTCAGTACTCTGGTGACTTGCTACATGAAATGTTTTCCATCTCTGGAAATGCATGCAGCTCCAGCCAAGTTTTCTTCCCAAGAATTAAGTTTGTCCCTGAAGGCAAGGAAGCAGAGTCTATATACATGTAGACACACATATAAAAGCCAGAGTCCATTGGAGTGAGCCCAGACACAAGGCTGAGTGCAGTGGGGATCCACAGTTGGCACCCTGGGGAACAGGCAGAAGCAGCTTCCGAGCCCAAGCCTGAGGCCAACCAATAGCTCCACATAAGATTCTAACCCTGCTCAGTCAATATCTTTGGGTCTTTGCCCCCAGCAGCCTCCCCAAGCTGATTTTGACCAGGAGTCCAAGGAGAATTTGATAAAAAGTTTAGGGTCTGGGGGTATAGCTCAGTGGTAAGAGTGTATGCTTAGCATGCACCAAGCTCTGGGTTCCATCCCAACACTGCCAAAAAAAAAAAAAAAAAGGGTGGTAACATCTGAACATCCAACCCACAAAGGAGAATGGTCCATTTTATGCGCAATAAAAATGTTTAAAGAAATACAGAGTATTTCTTCAGTCATTTTTGTGTATCTGGTAGTGATCCAGAACCCATGTCTGTATCTAGGCAGTATCCACAGAAGTCCTAGCTCTAGCATGTGTGTGGATGGACGCAAGTTTGAAGACATTGTTCATTTGTTTGTTTCTTAGTTTGTGCTTTTTCCCTCAGTCTTCCGTGTATCCTGACTCAGCGATCATCTGCCATTTGAAAAACTGCCGGAGGGCCCCATTTTGGTAAGAAGCTGCCCTTTGGAACTAAGCCCCTGTACGTGGTCTCTGGTCAGGAAGCATGTCTTTGACATAGAGATTCGCCAAACTGGAACAATCCTGGGGTCCTGGCCCCCTTCCTTCCAGCTGGCGGGAGCCCAGTGGCTTGGGCCTTGAGCCTCTGTGCCCAGGTTGTTCAGATGGTTCAGTGTCCCTAAGTTTACTCGGCGCATAGGGACCTGGAGGGCACTCATGTCACCCTTCATGAGTGCAGTCATCGCCAGGAGACTGAAGACAAGGATTCTAGCTAGCTCTCCTCCCTTTGCTGCAGGCCACTTCCCAGGGAACTTCCAGGACTCTTCCCAAGTCTATTCACCTCTCAGGCATCAGAAGCATCTCGGACTACAGGCCTTGAGATCACTGCTTCTCTCTGAAACGTACATAAACAGCAGGGAGGAACACCAACAACAGGAGCCTGGAGCCAGCTGGAGTCCCTGCTGTGGAAGCTGGAGCTGGAGCCTGCTGGCTGTTACAGCTACTGCAGAAAGAAGCACACCTGGCCAGGACTGATGTGGACAAAATCGTATGACCAGCACAGAAGGAATATGCCAGGGCACTGACCTGAAAGGAAAGATAGACCACAGCCCTTCTTTGCAGGGAAAGTAGAGCTTGGAGGCAGGTACAGTGGTGCAGCCCTGTAATCCCAGCTACTCAGGAGGCTGAAGCAGGAGGATGGCAAGCTCAAGACCACCATGGGCAACTTATTGAGACCCTGTTTCAAAAAAGGCAGGGGATGGAGCTCAGTGGTAGAACATCCCTGAGTTCAATCCCTAGTAACCCACCCCTAAAATAAAATTTTAAATGTGAGGCTTGGAAGTAACCTGGTCCCAATTTCCATCTGTTCGCCAAAGGAATCCCTTGTTGAGAGCTTGTTAACAGGATTTGACCACAGTTCACAGCAACCTGCCATGATCCCCAGGTGGCAGGAAATGGTGATTGTTGTTTTGGGCAGGCAGCCAGAGAGACAGGCTGGGGGGCCCCCTCTTCCTCTCAAGAAACCACTATGACTCATGACTCCAAGACCGTGAACCTGAATTCTTCCAGAGTCCCTTAAGCATCAAATTCAAAAGTGGAGAGGGAAGCCAGGCACGGTGGTACACACCTGTAATCTCAACAATCTGAGAGGCTGAGGCAGGAGGATTACAAGTTCAAGTCCAGCCTCGGCGACTTGGACATATAGTGAGATCCTGTCTCAAAGTACAACGAGAGATGGGGCTGTGGCTCAATACAAAGGCTTTGCATTCAATCCCTAGTACTATAAAACAAAAAGAAAAAGTGAAGAGAGAGAGAATGTCCTGTCACTTCCTGAGCCAGCCAGACGGGGCCACTTAGCAACACCTTCGATTGTGTTGCCTGCCCTGTTCTTACCCCCATGAGGGCAGGAAGAAGCCATTGTACTAGGTGGGCAATGCCTTCCCAAATGCCACCCTGGCTGGAGCCTCGCCATGGTACCGTGAGCCCAGAGCCCTTCCAGTAATGCTCCCCCACAGCCTGGTGCTACTGAGCCTCACCTGCTGGCATTTCTCGGCTGCCCATTCCTTGTGTCTCCTACCCCGAGGTCTTTTTACAGCTGGGGTGTCATTGGGCAGTTGGAGTCCCAGCTTCTCTGGGTAGGTACATGTGCTACTGCCTCTGCCTAAGAGACCACCTGTTTCTCACAGCAGCGTGGAAGGGGACTTTCCCCAGGACACGCTTGTGCACATACCACCCTTCCTTCTGTGGGCCTACACCCTTTCTTAACCAGTGTTAGCTAGTTCTCAAGTGCAGTCTAGTCTTCGGACCATGGTGGGCCAGTTGTGGAAGGGGTGGAGGCCCAGGGCTGGGCCTGGATCCGAATGGAAGTTCTCCCTATATAGTAAAGAGCATGGACCTGGGCCACCAGACACAGCAGCTCCAGACCCAGGCGAAGGTCTTTTACAAGTAATCATCATGTAAAAATGAGGACAGCATCACTGGCATCTGTGCCTGTCTCAGAGAGAGACGGGTGAATAGTGAGCGTGAGGTATCCATTCAGAGAGGCCCACCCCAGGCACCCCGCTTAGTTAACCAGTCAGTGCCTGCTCTCCCCATGGGTGGTGGGGCCATAACCAACTGAGGTATCCAGAGGAGGGCAGTGCCTCAAAGGGTTGAGTTGAAGTCTGTGGAGGCGCAGAAGTGTTCACCTTGGAGAAGAGCCCATAAACCCCAAGGACCAAGAGGTAGGCGCTCTTGTGGCCCAAGGTCATTCCCTATCCATGTGGTGACCCAACAAACGTGTGTGTTTGTTGAACTATTTTAAATGCTAGGCCAGATCTGTTTGCTCACAAACTTAATAGCTACAGTTCGCTGTAGGGAGACAGCGTTTCCAGAACACTCAGACGGGCCATCTCAGGCTCTAGCACCACCAAGCCAGCTCCTTCGGAACGCCTCTCCTCAGTGGCCCCAAGGGGACATGTCACAGGTCCCCATCCCCCTGAACCTCATTGCCCAGGATGGGTCACGGTGCTGAACCAGAGCCGAAGAAGGGAGAGGCCCACACAGGGAGTGCCCACGAGTGACAGCGGAGCACGGTTCCTTGAGAAAGAAGAAAAGTGACAGCTCCCTCCCCAGCAACATTTCATTATTTTAGCGTGTGTGTGTGTGTGTGTGTGTGTGTGTCATGTGCACACACACCCATGTGCCCATGTGTCTTACTGGGAATTGAACCGAGGGCCTTGAGGGTTTTGAGACAGAGTCTCAGTCACTAAAGTTGCCTGCAGGACTCAAACTTTTGATCCCCCTGCCTCACTCTCCTGAGTGCTGGCATTACAGGCTTGCACCACACCATGTCCAGCTTCATTTAACTTTTTCAAAAGTGTTTTTGAAGAATTAAATACGTTCCTTAAAATGTCACTAGTGCCAGGTGTGGTGGCACAGGCCTGTAATCCAGCACTCTGAGAGGCTGAGGCAGCCTAATCACAAATTTGGGCTGGCCTAGCCTGGGCAGTTGAGACACTCAAAATTTAAAAGAGCTGGGAATGTACCTCAGTGTAAAGGTCCTAGGTTCAATCCCCAGTTTCCCCCCACACCAAAAGGTCACCAGAGCCAGACACCTCACAGCCTTGTTGTTTTAGGAACCAAGAATGCTTCTGGCTGGGTCATGCAGGTTTTCAGCCTTGATCAGACTGTTTGGGTCTAGGGTCCATCCAGGGCTGGCTGCAGACACAATGCTGAATAATCGTAGCTGAGTCTCACTTGATGCCTTCCTGGGAACAAGCAGCAGAAGAGGCCGCCCCATCTCTCCCTCCTTCCCTGGTCACTCAACCACCTCAGCAGGCAGAGAAGGGGTCAGAAGTTGGCAGAGCCTCAACTCCTGAGGGACGGACACCAGAGGATGTCTCTTTCCAGGCACTGCCCCTGGAAGGTGTGGGTGGTAGCCCCGAGCTCAGTGGAATTCTGTGGGAAGATAACTGAAGAAGCATTAAGAGCAGTTTCCTCAAACTTGGTGCCTGAGAAGAATGAGTGGAAGGGAAAACTCCATGTCATGATGACTTCGGTGGTTTAAAGTCCTTGTCCGCATACAGGAATCCTACTTATAGCAAAGAGCGCCTTCTCTGGAGCGGGCAGCTGGCCAGCCCTGTTCCTGACCATGGCAGCTGTTCTGTGGGGAAGAGAGGGAAGCAGTAGAAAGCAATCCCTGTTTCTGTTGGTAGGGTGAGGTCTCCGCCCATCACCCTCTGTTTGCACTCCTGTGGCCAACTACCAAAATAAAACCAGTCGTTTTTTTCCTCCTGTGTGGAAGAGGCTCACTTCTCCCTTCAACAATGATTCACAGTCAGGACCAGGCTGTGCCCTTAAAAGCAAGGTCTCCAGGGACATCTTGAGGCCTGGCTGGGGGCCACCTGCTCCCCAGGCCAGTAGCTGATGCCAGTTCGCATGTGGTGGGGAGAACTGTCCCCCTCTGCCTCTCCCACTTCCTTCCATGTTTATTTTGGTGACAGCAGTGTCACTGCTAGCTTGTAAGAATTTCCTTTTCTTCCCCTGCTTGGCATTTACCATAGTGTGACAGAAATGGGCAGAAAGAAAGTTGTCTCCCTTAGAGTTTCCCTTCACATTTCCTGAACATTTCATCTCTGATCAAGGGTGGTTTTTCAGCACTGTGGCTAAGGGTAGCCTTGTTTGAGGGTAGGAGAGTACTCCTGACATTGGGAAGGATGGGCAGAGGAGTCTTGAGGACAAACACACACATATGGTAGGACTGGTTGTGGCTCAGTGTAGAGCACTTGGCTGGGCATGGGGAGCCCCTGGGCTTTGTCCCCAGGGCTGCAAACATAAAGACTGGTGAGCTTAGAACCTACCTGCGTGGTCAGGAATGAAAAACGGGAAGCCGAGATATTTCGTGCCAGGATTGTGGTAAAGGAAAACATTGATGGGTGACATGGGCAGAAGTCACTGAACGGCCCTCCAGGGCTCTTCCAACCCAAGAGATGGAAGAGGGCTCACTACCTCTCCACACATGGCCGAGCTACCTGACCCCCTGGCCCCAGGAAGGCTGGACTTTCCCACTCCCACTAGGTCAAGACGGAGAAAGGTGAAGAAAGATCTTGGTGAGTGACAATAGGCAGAAGCAGCAGAATGATCTCTGCCTCCAGGCCCCTCAACCAGACCCACCCTCCGCCTCCCCGGAGAGGAGTCCCCACCGGCTGGGGAAAACTGAGGCTTAGAGGACAGGACATGGATTCCTGGACAGCAGGAGCTGAGAAAAGCCACCTGCCC